CTTCGTTGCTTCTGGAGCCGACTGGCGGCCTTTGGTCCATATACGTGGGGCCTCAATTTGTTCATTTTTTATTTATCTCTTTATTTATGTAAGTTTCACCTACCTGTTCCCTTTTATTTTCTCATATTTGGACAGTTTTCACAGTGACCCATCGATTCCTGCATTTTAACTCTTATTTTCAAATGGACGTCAAGTTACCAGAGACTTCGCGGCTTTGAGACTGAAGTATGCAAAATTTATGCTTATTTCGGCAATAAACTTTTAGTAACAACCATGATAACAATCAGAATACGCTCGGCCATTCAGCTTATTTGCATCGTAAATGAACGATGTGTTAGATAATGAATTCATATTGACCCAGGGTCATTTGCATAAATTAGCTCCATTAATGCATTGCGGCTTACGTTTTCTCGTTGGTCACGTGACAATCTTTCAAAATGAAAGTTAAAATACAGGAATTGATGGGTCACTGTGAAAACTGTCCAAATATGAGACAATAAAAGGTGGCAAGTAGGTGAATTTTACACAAATAAAGAGATAAATGAAAAACAAATTGAGGCCCGATTTATATGGATCCAAGGCCGCCAGTCGGCTCCAGAAGCAACAAAGCGGAGCATCCATTTTGGACGGGCAAATATCCACTTTTTGATATGGGACGAGCTCTGACGTCCCACGTCCCAACCTTGTCTGGCAAAACAGTCGTTGGACGTCAGAGTAATCTCGGACTACCTATCGATATGCCACCTTGACGTCCAATACATTAATATCCCTTACGAGATGAAATCGTCGTTGTCATCATCAGAACCTGTTTCTAAATAATTTAAAACAGTTTAATTTAGTTGTACGATCTTATTTTAGGAGCGACATTACACGTTTTTATTCTTCTTGGTACAGCAAAATCACTTGGGTTATTTTTTGTTGAATTTCTATGGTTCTACGACACCAACTCGTCAATTTTGTCTGGAATGCTGGCTGCACAAACGCTCACAGTAAGCTTGTCATGTAAGTATGCAGACTACAATTATTTTCTATTGTTTACAATGCAAAGTATAATCAATTTCCATACCTAAATAGGCATGATAGGGGCTCCGTGAATCAGATATTAATCTGAATGCCTCTTTTCATACAACCGCATTAGAGCCTGTGATTTCGTTCTCACCTCGAATACGGGAGGTATTGGGTTTGATTCAAGGCCGGGTCAAGCCAATTACTTGAATATTGGAATTTGCTGCTTCTCGGCTAAACATGCAGCATTTAGAAGTAAGAGCAAAGACTGGTCGTCTCGGAGTCAACATAATGTATCTGGATAGGGTAATATGTCTTCCTGCGGACTGTTACGTTGTGACTTATCACGTTGAACAAATCCGTCTCAGCGTGTCGGTTGAGTACAAGAGTCGGATGTTTATCCATATCACATTAAACAGGTTCTCGTCCTGAATATGCATTTAATTTACCACTGGACGTGAAACAGCTATCAATCAACCCTTTTTTCATGCAACAGTATAATCGTGATATGAATTTGCTGTCCTCATTCTTAGCTGTAATACAAATAGAAAGAAATGTCATAAATAAACTGCAAACAAGGACATATTTAAAAAAAGAAGAAGACCGGAACAGATAATAACGGAATAACGGATAATAATCAAACTAAAAGAAGACAGCAATCAAACGACAAATATTCCCAATAAACATAGAGAGAACATACAGTCTCAAACAATAGGTATGCGTCTTTATAAAGCGTCAAGTTTTAATTGTCTATAAAAATTGTGAATAAATTAAAAGCAATTAAAGATCTACTTTCAAAACCAACCTTCTCAAATAAAATAGCAACATTAAGGTATGACATAAGAAAAGCACCGTCGGTGTCCTTGGCTTTGGGGACAGGCACATGAATATGTTTTAAACATGTTTTGGGAATTTTTTACCTTTCCCTTTTTAATCACGATCAGAACACTAACTGAAAAAGTAAAAAAAAAAAAAAAAAATTGAATCAGTACAAGAAAAACACTCAATTCTTATTTAAATAATATTTCTGAAAAATAACGGTCTCAAAGAGATTAAGAAAGACGCATAAAATGATTTTGTGTCATGGATTGATACCCCACATCCTTTGTTTTTCTATTACAAAACAATCAATAAAATATACCACAACAAAGCATGACGAAAGTTTGCATACAAGCTATTTCCCACCTAGTCAATTCAAATATGTAATAACAAATATACCTTCATGTTATACTTTTAGAGACAAATGGGGTCGAATTTACTGAAAATTTTAGTTTCATGGACATTTCTATCCTTTGGAAAGACGCATGCACCTAACTTTTGTTTTATTTTAAAAGATAAACGCTAGCGGATTTTTGTAAACACATTTGAAATATCTTCTTTACATAAGTTTGCTTTGAATTTTTGTAATAATTCTTTGGAAATAATTCATTTTTATAACATTTTCCTGGTTTTAGTAAAAAAACGAAATTTGTTGCTGTATTTTTATCTAACTTATAGAATTGCATCGGTGAGTTGTTTTTGAAAATTGGCACAAATAATCTTCATAATTTATCAAGCCAAATACCATTTTTAAAAAAAGAGGGGTTCATGAACTCGTTTTTAAGTTAAATCAGTCTGAATGATAAAAATCAGTCGAAAAATAGATCTATTCCCGATGTGTCACAATTTGACTTCGCGAAAAATAACTTTTTACGTTAGCGACGTCATTACCTCCCCTGTAACTGTATGTCAGTCACTGAACTTCTTAGAAAATTTCATATAGCAACGCCTTGCACAGTACAGGAAGACATGAGTTATTGTAATGCTCATATGAATGTACATCGATTTCTTCTGTAATGAGAAATTTATTAAACAGCCTATACATTTTGTGTATATGTCAGGAACCACCAATAATAGCAGTACAACGAAATGACGAACTTCAGAGGCGGATTTGGGGGAGGGGGCGGGGTGCCTGCCCCCCTCCCCATCCCCTTTGTGGGAAAAGAAAAATTTGATTGATTATTAAGGGAATCACTGAAGCATGACTAAGCGGGCCCCCTCTTATGGTAGTCAGTGGATCCCCCTTCTGAATATTTCTGGATCCGCCACTGAACTGTAATAGGATTTCAGACTTCGAACACACACAAGAACATGCACATGGCATTAGAACGTCAGTTCAACTCTTAGAAAACTTTCTGTCGTAGGTCCTATATAACCATATGATTAAACCAATTTGTTATTGTTATATCAAATTACAACTATATCTTTTGTTTGTTTATTTCAGCATTATTTGTGTTAAACATTGGTTCTAAGCTTCTAGGAAATAGGAAGTTGATAATAATTGGAGGTTTTATATCTTTCTCGGGCTATCTGCTGAGTGCTTTCTCTCCAAACATTGCGGTGTTGGTGTTGTCACAAAGCGTACTATATGGTAAATTTGCTAAATGTTTAATAATAATATTAATTTTGTATGTCTTTAAATCTTTAAAATATTACTTTGATTAACTAAACGGGTGCTTGCTGGTTAGCAAAACAAAAGAAATGCTAAACAAATGAAATGAAATTAGTAAAATAATAAAAGATAGGGGAAAGATACGAAAGAAACATGTTAACTCGTTAGTTAAAAACTTAAAACGATAAAAATACAAGCAATAGAATATAAAACACACCATATAAAATCACAGACTGAGCGACTCAAACTCAACCAAAAATTAGAAGTGGTCTCAGTTGCTTCAGAAGGGTAAGCAGATCCTGCTCTACATGTGGCACCCGTCATGAAGTTGAATAAAAGATGCATGTCCATGCACTTCTTTCTTAAAGATATAAGTTGGGTTTTTGTTTTAAATAGACTGGTAACAGGAGTTTTCTTGATTGTTCATATCTTTCACATAGACACATTGTCACTGTCAAAATCTGTTCCAAAATAACAAGGATTTTGGTAGATTTTGCAAGGATTTAGGTTAAGAACTCTTTAAATGAAATGATAAAAATAAAACGCAGATGGTTACAGTTCAAAAATCAGAATAAAGAGGATATCAAAATGATAAAACCCAATTAGTTAAGATGACCAGTGAACATGCTTATATATCAGTCAAGTAACAAATAATCAATTGTATTTGTACTCGCTACGAAACCGGAGAAAAGTTCGACAAGCCTTGCTTTTCGTCCTGTTTCTAAAGTTTGTATACATTTTATGTTTTTCGACAGTGTATATACATGTATTAGATACACGATGAATTTTTAGCGTACGATTTAAACAAATTGACGTTCTTAAATTTTTTATCGATTTGATTGCACGGAGCAGCGATACATTCAGAAATACCCTTTATCATGTTTATTTAAGAATTGAATGCTTCTTTTTGAAAATTTATTACGGTGTAAAAGCGTTGTCCAAAGTACATTTTGTATGAAGCGCGCAAGCGCTTCATTCTATAAATGTGCGCACGGTCAACGCTGTTAAAACCCTATAAAATTACTAAATGAAGCATTCAATACTTATAATTACATTTCTTTTGAAAACACGATTTCCATCAAGTTTTTCTTTTATTTACCTGTGCACTTTATTGTGGAAGCGCGTGTGATCATGAATGTTACAATGAAGGTTGATTTCAGGATGACGCGAGATTGCTGTTAGCCAATCAAAATAACGTATTATAATGAAACATACATGTAATGTAATTATAAGTTGATAACAGACAAAAAGAAATAAAAAAAAAAAAATAAGGGAAAAAAATACGTACTAACACAGCAATATCGAATAAAAAGCTTAATAAAATAATTTAACGTGTACTCGAAGAAACCAACATTAGTATTTGCTAACGAATGACGGTGATGAGTTAAAAAAAAACACGCACACGCCGAAAGATAATTATATGGCTTGATACAATCGTCGTGGAGAACCTTATAAAAAATATTGAAAAAATTAATAATTCAAAAATACTATAACACTAAAGAGAGAAAACGATCTGATTTCCATTTTATTTTTTTTATACCTGTCCAGTGAATGAATATTTCAGGTGTTGGATGCGCATGCACAACAGGACCAGTGTTTGTTGTACTGAACTACTACTTCGAGAAACATCTAGGATTTGCTAATAGTTTTGCCTACGTGGGAGGGAGTGTTGGGAGTCTTGCATGGCCTGTGATTATAAGGAAACTTTTAGATAATTATGGTTTACAAGGAGCTTTGTTAGTTGTATCTGGTCTTATTTTAAACAATATAATCGTTGGAGCTTTGATGCGTCCTTTTTTATCGGAACCTGTCGTTGAAAAACAGGATGTCGATTCTGAAAGTGAGGCTGACATAATAATAACCAAAAGGAATTGGTTAAAAGACGAAATTTCCATTTCACTCGATAATGTCCCAGGATACTTTTCCAGACAAAAATATCAGGTTGAGGACCAAGAACCCTTTATGGACCTAATTGATAAAAGAGTGGACATTAAGAGAAGCCTTTCGTACAACTTCTTTTTGGATAAAAAAGAAAATGAAAAGACTAAAATTAAAATACCTGAGAAATCAGACTATTTGGTCGAGCGTTTTACGGGTAGCAACATTAATATTGATGGTAGTTTGGGAACACCTGAGACATTTTGGACTACACACATATGTAGCTTGAGATCTTTGCCACAACATACACCAGAGGAAAGTTCTACTGAAAGTAATAAAAACAAGTCTGAATTTTGTTTCAATCAATATATCATAGATATGACCGTTCTTCGGAATCGTAAATTACAGCTTTTTCTGTTTGTGTCATTTTTTTCATTTTGCGGAAGTGGCATGATTATAACATTCATTCCACCTTTTGCCAGAGATAATGGTATATCTAATGACAGAATAACAATTTTAATTACAATAATTGGTGGGTGTGACCTTTTTGCACGATTTACATTAGCTTGGATAACCGATTCACAAAAAATTAGACGTCACCATATAATGGGATTTTGTTTAGGAATTACTGGTGTTGCTTCCATGTTAAATCCGTTGTATACAAATTTTACAGCTTTCATAGGATATTCTGTTATTTATGGACTGTTTGGAAGCATTTATTTTTCTATGTCAATTCTAGTACTCAGGGACTGTGTAGGTGCTGAGAATATTTCAGCAGCTATATCTTTAATGATTACAATTCAGGGTTTGTCATCGATAATAATTGCACCTTCAGTTGGTAAGTACATATAGTCTAGAATTGTATGAGGAAAGTAGAAATCTGAGTATAATTGATTAATGGCGTTTAACACCACTTTCAGTACTATTGGCTATATCGTACCGGTCAAATTTTATTGGTAGAGGAAGCCGAAATGGCCAGAGATAACTATCGACCAACGGCAGGGACACTGACATTCCTAGTCAATTTAGATTGACGTCGAAAGCACATGCTCGATTGCAGTATGAAGAAAAATCTGTAGGATAAAAAAATACAACAAAAAACGCCAAAATAAGCGAAAAGAAAAAACGAAAAAAGTTTCAGAAAAAGAAAACATAAAAAAATAAAATATAAAAAAGGAAAATACAACCAATCTGAGAAAAACTCGCACATGCAACTGTTAAAATTGAAGATTTTGTATATCATGTATTATTCGTGGATTCCAATATCTGGTGTGTCCAATTGCTCAGAAGATGCTGTGATTCATTTGTGGATCCTTAAATTTGCCAATTTTGCCAAAAAAGGAAAGGCAGATTCTGATATTTATACATGGATCACAACACCTTATATTTCCAAGAGATAATAAAATACTGTCGTTATCTTAATTGGGTGCCATGGGTTGTAAATATCAATAAATTGCATATTTAGCCTCAAAATAAAAATGTAACTTCAAAGCGAAGGAAAAATTGTGGTGGTTCAGTGAAAAAAGAAATCCGGAATAATATATATACATAGAATATAATGATCTGCGTAAAAGAAAGCAACAGAAATGTATATTGCATTGCAATAACAGTATATTAACCGTTTTAGTGTACTACATGCAAACAAACATTATCGTGTCGCCTATTGACATGACATGTCATTCGCAGTCTTTCTTTTTAATTCCCATGAATTTTCTCTGACAACAGCCAAAATAAGTTCATATGCCCTAAAATGTCAAGGTATCACTTGATATTGATTCGCATGCACCTGTTGTTTGTCTTGTACCGAGATTATATATACTAGCCAATTGAACTACTTTTCATTATGGTGTTTATTGTATGTTTTTAGGGTAGAAATGTAGTCACCTGAATTTGTTCCGTCCTTTGAACAATCCCATGAATTTGCTAGGGCCCGTCCTATGATATTTATTGTATGTTTTAGGGGGTAAAAAAATATAGTCACATGAACTTGCCCCGTCATATGATTTTTATTGTACGTTTTATATGAGTAGAAATGTAGACACACGAACTTGCTGTCCAGCTCTTATATCGAATCTACGATGGCGCCCGCTTGTCTAGTAAGGATATATAAATATGTGCCCACGTCCATATGGAATGGGCTTATCAATCCGATACCACTTGTTGGAAGCATTGCAACAACTTTTTGTAAGGCTAAATATCTGTCATTTTTGAAAGTACCCTATTTCCAGTGGTCGCCAAACTTTTTTTATCCTTCACACATACAAAACCTACTCATTGGAAGTTAGGCAAACATACAACAATCGTTTGTTTTTTTACCTTTAAAGCTGTTCCATTGTTAACGTTTTTTAACATAAAAAGGGAGATTAGTATAATTTCATATTAGGCAACTGCCCACCAAATGACATGGATGTAAGCTATAGGTCACCACACGGCCTTAAACAATGAGCAAACCCAATATCATGAGGTCGGCTTTAGAATGCCACAATATCACAAAATGTGAAACTGTTCAAACGAGAAAATAACGGCAGCTGATTTATAACAAAACAACAAATGAAAATCAAATATAATGGACAGCACCCACGAACAACCACTGAATTGCAGGCTCCTGACATAATTGGGAAATACATTTTAAAAATGTGGCGGGATTGAACATATTTGTGGGCGTGTAATCCTCCACTAATCAGTGGTGTAACCGTACAACATAAAAAAAATGAAGATCGATTCTAGAGTTTGGTGTTGTTGTAAATTTTAGATTAAGGTACCATCTCCCTCGAGCAAGATTGACATTAGATGAAAATGGCTATTCTTGTTAAACCTCTTTAGGCCATATATTATCTCCGTGTGTATTCAAGTACTAATTATGGATTCTTGGCTTTCACATTTTTGGGTTTGGGCGTGTTCGATGAAAGTATATCCAGAAAAGCTCTTTGGACGCACTAATTAAATAACTTGTTATATTTGCATTGTCTAGATTTTTGGACGAATTGAAGTAGGTATATTTCAGGTTAGAGTGACGGTTGGCGCCTGTTAAAACGTTTAAACCCGCTGCATTTGTTTGCACCTGTCCTAAATCAGAAACTTAGTGATAAAGTAAAATACTGATGTTATTTTGACCACAAATTATGCCTTGTAGTGCGAATAAAAAATCATACATGATTACTTTGATATAAACATATCTGCAAAACATCGTTCTATAATTGAGGATTACTTTAAAGTCTATGCATACATTGCTTAACTTATAAACTGTTAAAACGTTTAAACCCGCTGCATTTGTATGTACCTGTCCTAATTCAGGAGCCTGTTTACCAGTGGTTGTCGTTTGTTGATTTGGTTTTTAAGTGTTTCTCGTTTCCCGTTTCTTATATAGATTAGACGGTTGGTTTCCTGTTTGAATTGTTTTACACTAGTCATTTTGGGGTCCTTTATAGCTTGCTATTCGGTGTGAGCCAAGGCTCCGTGTTGAAGGCCGTACTTTGACCTATAATTGTTGACTTTTTACACATTGTGACTTGGATGGAGAGTTGCCTCGTTGGCACTCATACCACGTCTTCTTATATCTATATATTGTAGAAACATATGTCTTTCATCGAAGACAATTGAGTAGTTCGGGTGCTGTCCGATAACGTATTATCATAATAGTTTACTATTATAAAAATCAAGCCGGTAAACCATTGATTTCTTTTTTTCAGGTTTTATCCGTGATACAACCGGATCATATGCAGGGTCGTTTTTTCTAATGGGTTCCGGTCTGATTCTTGGATCTGTTGGTATATTCTGTCAGCCATTAGTCAATTAAAGACACAAAATTACTGGATCAAACATGTAATAATGTTGTAATAATTTTACTTATGTCTGGGACGGTATAGATATAAATATCAGTGGTGTAGCTTTTGTTTTATATATATCTAGACCTATCATTGAATTTTTACTTACAGAAGTAACACGACGGTGCCATATGTGGAGCAGGATCTGCTTATCATTCCTGAGTAACCGATATCACCTACGGGATTTATAGGGTTCATGTTGCTTTGTCTTTAATTTTTTATGTAGTGTTTTGTGAAGACGACTTTTGTTCGTGTTTTGCCATGGCGTTATCAGATTCTGGGGTTGAATATCCTTTTTAGTATCTCTTTATGACTTTTGACTTATAAAGTTGATTTATGACTTTTGAACACCGGTATACTACTGTTGCCTTTATTTATGTATATATACTGTAACAGTTAGTACTGTTAAAACGAACTCACGTTTATTGACCAGTTGTGGTATGATGTTTATATAAACGAACGATATGAATGTAGAATGAGTTATACATTGCGGACTGAGCAAAAGTACTTGCCGTCCATGTGAATTAATGCAAGCTCGTACAATTCATCTACTGTTTCGTGACAGTTTACCTTAGTACAACTGACTGATCATATGAATACAATTGTTTCAAAAATATTTTTGTCACGCGACGTAACCCCGCTAACCGGTGCACATTACTTCTTTCAAGATCGGCAAACTATTACATAATGAAAAAATAATTTGTAAAGCATTACGCAGATAATTGTCTTAGGAATATTTATATCATGCACTGAATGTGTATTACATAACCGAGCTAACATGTGCATGTACATGTACCAACTATTTCACGATCCATAACACATTAAACAACGAAGAAAAAAGATATAGCATAACATCATGCAGACAATTCGGATCAAAGTAGATATGGAGTATTTGTCAACGAAACAGCAACCACACAACACATCAAATGCGGTCATAAAAATTTAGAGTAAGATTTTCGTTTTCATCTTCCAAATTTAAACATTCAAAATACTGGATTTAGTGTAACGTGCACAAATTTTGTACTCCGAACACTAAATAAAGTTTTATGACCGAAAGCCCAGAAAGCAGTAAAAAACATCATGATTTAATTACTCGGTGAACCCATCAAATTTTAAATAATTATAGATTGTGCCTGTCCCAAGTCAGGAGCCTGTAATTTAGTGGTTATCGTTTATTGTTGTTTCTTATATTTGATTTTCGTTTATTGTTATATAACGTTTGTTCTTGTGCTGTGTCGTTACACCACTTTCCCAGGTTTATTGCAGGTTTGGCGCCTTCAAACATGTATAACCCTGCCAATTTCTTTATGTGCCTGTCCCAATTTAGGAGCTTGTAGTTCAGTGGTTATCGTTGGTTCATGTCTGTCATATTTGTTTTTCGTAAATTGTTTTGTTGAAAAAGAGGCCGTTAGTTTTCTCAACTGAATTGTTTCATATTTTTTTTATTTCGGTGCCTTTTAAAGCCAACTATACGGTATGGATTTTTTCTCGTTTTTGACGATCTACGGTTGCCGATAAATGCTTACATCCACTTCATTTGAACTTTGGTGGATAGTTGTCTCATTAGCAATCACATCAAATCTCCTTATTTTTAGAAGGAAGTATTCCAGAGTGTACCTATAAAGGAAACGGATTTGTACGTGGATATAGTATGAGATTTTCTGCTAATATCAGACGAAAATCGCAAAATCATTATATAGTTGTTAAACGATTGAAAAAATGAACGAACCAAGGAAAAAAAATAATCTAGTGTCGAGTAAGTGATATCTGTAATTATTTAAAATGCAATTTTCTATTCGTGAGAAATATTTGAAGTCTCTTCTTAATTTTGTTGTGCCGACCTTCCAGGGGATTGATGATGCGGGTCCTTCTGCTAAGTAGTGATTCCATACAAAAGCGGTATCCTTCAACCCAAGACTCTGTTATATAATAAGTAAATGATGTTGTAGCGGGTACGTTGTCAGCTTCACCAATGACTTCTACAGTTGTAAGCCAAACATCCTCAACAACGAGAGATAATACTGCGGCTTGTCCTATAAGTGGAGTAATGTCTTCATTTTCTTTATATAGTATGACTGTAGTCCACATTTCTGTGCCTTTTGCCAAATACACTGGGTAAAGGGGAAGAAGCAGCCTTTCACGGTTACCCCAGGGAACACTGTCCCTGTTGTGTTGTTGGTTTTTGCCTCGTAATCGATAACTACTGTTTCTTGTTGAAGTTGTAACTGATGAAATTCAACAATGTAACGTATGTTGCTGAAGAAGCGCGAATAGATGAGCTCGTCTATTTATTCCTGGCAGTAGAACATACACTAGTGGGAATATAGAACTTATTATAAATTGAAAGCAGAAAGTGCTAGCTTGGATGCAGATTACTGTTCAAATTATGGCATTTGTAAAGATTGGCTTTTGAACAGTTGCATTTATATTTTAGTTTTTAGAATTAATTGATTTTTTATATTAAATTTTGTAACAAAAAGTATTAATTAAGATTAAAAAAATAAATAAGGTGAAGAATAAAAAGAAATTTTAAATGTTTCATTGTTTTACTTTATACATTTTTTTTACTAAAATGTACCAACAATTTAAAAATTTTGTCAATAATTTGTCAAAATGATAAACATTTTGGAATATTTTTTTAAAAATATATGCAAAATTCAATACATTTTCCTGGTAAATTTTTAAATATTTGTGCACATTTTCTTTGATTTGATAGTAGAATTATGTTTCTTTTATAAAATCAACAGGTAAAATAATGGTAAAAAATATGACTATAATTCAGAAATGAACTATAATTGTTAAATCAACAAAACACCCTATGTTTTTATAAACCTGCAATTAAATGTGGGCAAACCAGGATGTCACCAAATATTTTACTATTGGTTAGCCATTTCTATCCATTTTATGTCAAATTATTCTTAAGCATGATCGTCGTGAAGATGAATGATATTAAATCGCATTTATTATGTAATAACGGTGCATGTATCAACGCAAAAGACAATTTATAAACACGGTGTACTTTTCAGTATTGTATAATCATCATATATCTATTAGTGTACGTACATGTCACGTCAATACCTATACAATATAATAACATTGTAGGAGCATAACCTATTCATTTGCACGAGCTTTAGAAATCAGAAGAAAAGCAAGACTTTCCTGTTTGGTAGTGAATACAGTGGCTGATTTACCGGGGGGCACAGGGGCATGTGCCCCCTCCCCCTCAAGGTCGGGTTCATAAAAAAATTCTAACATAATTATATTGCTACTGAATCGGCTTATCTGGATCAAAAATAAAGTCACAGCTTGATTTGACTTCCTAAACCGGCTGTTAATTAACCCCAGCTTCAACATGCGTGATTTATGACATGAACATGCTGATTGGAATACGAATATTTTTATTGGTTTCTAATACAATATTACAGGATTAAGATTAACAAGTGAAATCTTTTAGTAAGAAATTTCCACAAAAAAATCGGTCTTTAAGGTAGTACCAAACACCTTGACACTAATTTTCATAAAACTTTGACAGAATATTTACTTTGACCCTTTGACAAAAATATACAAATTTCAAAAAACTTGAACCACACACTTTATTGGAAAAATTTCATTGGATATATAGCAGTTTGACAAACACTAATTTTGATCATTGAGAAGCTTAATATTTCCTTAACAATAGAACGTGATTAAAACGTTGAGCTGGTTTTTACAGAGTTATCTCCCTGTAGTATTATGTACCACCTTAAAGAATATAGGTGCGAATAGATGTTAAGTGTCAAGAATTTTAATATCGATATGAGATACGTCTTTATTAACAAACACTCACATTGTATACAGTTTCTGGGGAATATACATTTCGGACGTTATTATAAAAACGACATTTTTAATAACAGACCGGAACATTTTTTAGAAAACTGAATGTTGAGTTTTTTTTCTCCTTATTTTTAATGGAAACTAACAATGGTTTCAACTCCCTCAGGCAAATGTGACCTTAGATGAATTTGGCAATTTTTTAAGGTATTTTTGTCATATAGCTCTTCAACTGTTTCGGTACTTATACATCCTCGGATTTCAAATGTTTGGCTTTGAGCGTTCCTGATGAAGGTAAATCCAGAAAAGCGCTTCGGACGCATGAAATGATTAAACGTGTTGTTTTCAATTTTTTAGTTTAAAAAAAACCTTCCCCTCCACAAATCATGAATGGTCATGCAATGCCTTATATATTATCTTTAATAAAAAATGCTATTGTATTTTTAGAAGACCTTCTTTTTAACATAATACAGTAATATATGTATATTTTTTCTTGTTTCGATTACCATGTTTGAGGGTATGAATGAGTTACCGTGAATGAGGGTATATGAATGGAGTTTACATATTAAAGAATAATGGTCAAAAAGTAAAGATTAGAAAAAAATGCACCCCCAAAATATAAAAAAAAACCAGATTAAAGGTGTGATGAAATATACAGAATAGAGAAAAATTGGCAGAAAATCAAAGAGTAAAAAGAAATGGTCCAACAAAATGAAAAGATATAGAAATGAAAACAACCCCCCACCCCCACCATCCCAACACAAGCTACCCCCACCATCACCGCCACACACATTCCCATATATACATACAAAAACAACTGTTTAATTTTAGTTTCATGGTGCCCCCCCCATACGGCCCGCAAACCATCATCTCAGTAGTCAGTACTTCCGGTCTCTTACAATATAGTTTTTTATATTGTCCGTGTTTTTTCGAGAGCAACATTTAAAACGTCCAGGTTTTTTCAACAAATGGTCCGGGTTTTTTTTTAAGAAAGTGTGAATAAGAAAGAAGACATTCTTTGGCTTAAAAACTGACTTTTTCTAGTTTGAAACTGTAATTTAGCAAAGGACAATATTATATATTCTTAATAAGTCACAAAAACAGATCACTCTGTTGATCAAACTTAACCATTTTCAATTTAATGATAACTTTCTGTTCTGAAAACATTTTACCATAACCCTGCAGTATTACGATATTATAAGAAATCAATTGTTCCTTTTTAAAAACGGTCTTAAGAACAGAGTACAGGGAC